AACTCGTCGGCTTGATACTCCTTGCGTGCACATTCGACGTGACTCACAACAGCTTCGTCGTTGACACCGTCCTCGAGCTCGATATGACTCGCGCTTAAGGGGATACCATACTTGGAAACTTAAGAATTCCCTTAAGGCACGTAGTGGCCGAGTTTCGAAAATAATGGAAGGAGTTTGAAAAAATTAAAGATTGATTTATGTTGCATCTAAAAGTGAAATCACGAGCGATTTGACATAGATTTGGAGTCTGGATCAACAGTTATTCCACTTTGATGTGTATAAGCTCAGTAAACATCATGACGTCAAGCGACGTTTAATGATGCATTGATTGATGTCTGTAACGTTAACAATACATCATCAATACGTCGTTTGCTCGTAGCTATCCAGCTACCTGGAAATATTTTAAACCACGTTATGGAAATATATGATGTTGTAAAGGGAAAAAGATAATAGAAAAATCTCAATTTTGGTATTCATATGTTTTTAATATTCAAAATGATGTATGCAAAGTTTCATTGTGGTTCATAGATAAGAATTGAAAAGTCAGATATAATGACAGTGAGAGAAAAGATATTTAAAAAAATGAAAAAAAAATTATTTGGTTGTTACTAATAATATTTATTTAAGCCTAGATTTTCTTGTGTTTAAATAGAATATACAATCTCATGAAGAACCGGAGAAGTTTTAAGAAAGTGTATATTTCCTTATTTGAAAAATATATTTTATATATTACTAGAAGTATAAATACGGTATTATATATATATATATATAGACATTTTTTCAATCACTGTTTATAAGATAAAGTATAATTAACTATAAAAATGTAAAATTGGGGTAATAATATATCCTCACTCGACTGTACATATTTGCCGTACGTTTTTGAACGGAAAACAGAAATATTAGCGTATTCCTAATTCTCAGTGACTCTCTTTTCGCACATGGCCAATGCTTGTTGAACATTTCAACGCACCTGCCGCGTTTCACATGAGCTTACGTCTCGAGGGAAAGAGAAAGAGATAGAGGGATCATCGATGGCCAAATGTCACACGCGACCCGAGAGCGAGACGGGAGACGCTCTCGCGATGGCAGTCTCAGACGCACATCGTCCTTGTATCCTTGAATATTTAAACGACCGCGCCTATCGAACATTCGAAACGCTGCGGCAAATGCCGCAGTAGCAACGGCAAACAGCAGTGGCAGAGTGGCGGCGGCAGCAGCAGCAGCGGCAGGAGAGAGAAAGACGGAAAAATGAAAAAGAAAATTCGCCTCTCTGGCCGGAGTTCGCGTCTGCCTCTTCCTTGCCGCTGGGCGCTAAGCTCGGATTCACGCTAAGAAGTTATATACGTTGCACTGCAGAGCTAGCAGCGTAACCATGCGGGAGTTTCGCTGCATAATGCGATGCGAAATTGCAGCGCGCAATGATAGGGATAATTTGAGAGCGTTCGCAGTCGTAAGACATCCTTCCGAGATATTCTCGCCCCCGCCGCTGTGCCGTTTAATTATTGTGCGCGCGCGAATAGAGAGCGCGCGCTTCCTTCCCCTCCTGCCCGTTACATCGCCCGGCGACGTTGGGTTTTTTAATTTAGTAATGGCAGTCAGGCCTGCGTTCTCCTGGCCGTGGTTTATTTCTGTCCGACTGCACCGCGCCTTAATTTAATTACATTTGCAATATTATACTTCGCGAAAAATCGCGCGCGCGTGGCAAGGTGCAACACGGTAAAAGCTTGCCGAACTTGTCCTTATATCCTTATTTCCGAACACACACATACACACGGGACTTATTACACATCCTGACAGCTATCAGATTTGATAGCCGTTGTACTCAGTCGCGAATTTATAAAAAAAATCATAAAAAGGTAATATCGAATTGAATATATATAATTTATATAATATTTACGTATATGAATTCTCATAATTATTAGCGTAGAGATTCGTCATAAATAGCTAGTAAATAATTTGATCCGGATGATAAAATTATACCCGATTATTGCGTCAGGAAAATTTAACAACAGTCGGGACGAATATTTCGGATCGTACGTTTAAAAATGTTTATTAGTTTTTGAAGAATTTAAAAACTTCATATCTCTTCCACGTCAGTGATAAAATTTTGACACTTTTGCTACCACACGGAGAGAGTTTCGCTTGAATTAATAACGTAATGAGTGAACGAGTCAAACGCGTTTCGCTTGGAGGGAACAGAATCTCTGGCCCTTGTAAACAGGATTTGGTTGTAATAACCAGAAATCCCGTTTGCTTTAACCAAGAAGCGTTTGGCTCTTTTGGCACTAACACGTTAATTCAACCACGTTTATTTACTGTGCAGTTTCCTGTGCAGTAATTATAAAATCAGATCGTATAGTTTTCTAAGAATCAAGCAATCTCGGCTCCTCGTTGTTAAATGTCCAGCTTTGGGACATTTTTTTCCATAACAAATCAAGCTCGAAAGATCATCGTAGCCTACGAACCTTTTCCCATCTCTCTATTCGCGAATTTACTTATACACTGTGTTCAAAAGAAATGTGACAGCAAAAATTATACACGGAAAAAATAATTCCGTTGGTGCAACCGAATTTTCGGTTGCTCAGGAATCAGACGAAAACTCGGCTGTAGGAACAGAAAAATTCCTTTATGAGGCTTCTATATAGTCAATTGTTCTCAGTTATTTCAACCGAGTTCTAATATCGTTAAATGTTCAGACGAATATTTTCGGTTGCGACAACAAAAATATTAGTTTTCATAACAGAGATATCGCTTCTGATCATCTAATTTTCAGTTGGTTCCTATTTGGTTGTACCAACTGAAACTTTTTTTGCGTGTAGGCAACGATAGATGAAGTTTGAATAAATATTACTCTGTGAGAAATCATTGTACAAATATTTTTTTTTAGTTTCAAAGTGTGTGAAATATCTACTAGGAGAAATATTGGATTTTTGTTTGATAACATCCTCGCCTTACTATCCCCCCAAAAATGGATGCGAATTTTTATAGTAAAAATTGCGTGTTTCTCCCTTTCAATTAAAAGAAATGAAATTATGCGTAGGATTTTCTCACAGAGACCATTCTAAATTTACAACATCTCTCTGAAGTTATTCTTGCATTTTCATCGCCTGCAACATTGTTATTCTCGACTCACGACAGCCGAGGTGCGTCCTCGGTGTGCGTCGCTCCGACTGCGGGAGATAATCGCCATGCAAAACGGAAATTTGCAGGCTTTCGCCTGAAACTGCGATTATAAATGAGAAATCCTCGCGTTCCCTATCGCTCATCGTTTCGTCGCACCGCCGTAGCTACGTCACAACAGCGACGTGTTTTCTGCGCCGTTACTTATAAGAGCGCTCTTGTTAATTGGCGGGCCAACGGTTACCTAACATCGCGTCGCAATGCCTGTTACAGAGTTTACGCAACATGATGACGAATACGACGGACGCCTGCGAGACTCGCGACCCGTGCCAGCACGGCGGCATCTGCATCTCCACGGACAGCGGGCCGATCTGCGAGTGTCGTACTGGAGATTACGAAGGCGCTTACTGCGAGAAAGGTATGTCGTTGGCGTGTGTCTTGCATTATGTCGACATAATTACGCGCATAATTACGAGCTCGTAAGGGAGACACGTACACGCATCACCCAAAGGAAAGAAAAACCTAATCTAGTGGAAATCCTCTTACGTATAGCTCTACAAGAGAATATTTCTAAAATCAAAAGGAAATTATTCTAAGCACAATATTCCTAACTCGCTACTATCCAAATTAATTTCTCATATTTAAAAAATTTTTTATGTACATAGGAAGTTTAAAACTCAACACATACAAGACGAAATTTCCCTAATGTTTTATTTTTTCAAAATAAGTTTGTGACTCTGAAGTCACGTTGAGCAGTTACTGCTAACTTACTAAAAAAGCCATATTTTGACTCACATCACGTCACGTCACATCGGTCAAGACAGGAACAACATTCATATTGGAGATAAATAATGATAAAACTAGATTGTAACTGTTTTTAGAATCACAGTGGGCAATAGAGGGTTAAAGTTACAGGAATTTATCTTTCGTTTATACTAAAAGATCGTCTATAGAAAAAGATTCGTCTATAGAAAAAAATATTTGAACATTTATCTCTATGGCATAAAAGTTTATTTCGTAGAGAGAGAAATATAAATTTTCTTTTTCACAGATATAAACTTTACATCTCACAGATATACTTTCAAATACTTTCTTCTCGGTATACAAATACTTTCATAGAAATAAACTTTATATTCCACAGATTTTCAAAAATACTTCCTCCCTAATACGAGTCTTATTCTTAATAGAAATTGCTTCTAATAAGAGGGAACTCTGCTTCAAATGAATATATTATTCTTGATTCAAAAGGAAAAAAGTTGAAGCGATATCTGGTAGATTTCCGATTAATAGTCCATCTCATTAGAAAGGGAATATTCTCTCGCGGTAATAGTTTCCGCTCAGAATGAGGGATTACAGGAAATGGCAGCTTGCAACTAGAGTTCTTGTTTTGGCTGTTAAAACATTTCCTTTGGTTTCAGCGTAATCCTTTTGAGATCATATGTAAAAAGGTTTTCCATGAAGAATAAGGTTACATAGTTTTTTTTATCTGATATACATTTATGTGAGCTCACTTTTCAGATTTGTATTCGTTTTCATTCGCGAACACGTTTTCATCACTCGACGATGATATTTGTGCTCGATGTAAATTTGATACGCAGCCTTGGCCGGCAATACGGGACGCAATCAATAAATCACGACCTATTAAATTGGCTGGAATAATAAACGCAAAACTTTATTAGCAATTTAGGATACTCCTCGATGAAACTATTAGAATTTAACGTGAAAATTTTTGCTTGGATGATAAATTCGAGAGGGAGAGAGCGAGCTTGTCGAACGACTCGATTTACCGTGGTTTAATAAAGACGCCTCGCGTCTCTTTTCGGTCACGGTTGGTGTTCAATTTCATCCTTGACATTTATGCCATGATTGGTTCCACACGTGGCTCCGACATTACTTTCAAGTATTCTCCGCATCCCACCATTTCATTAATTTACAATCCACATTACCCCCGCGATGTTCTCTCGATTTTTGCGCCCATCTGTTCGCCTGTCCGCTCGTTCGCCGGTAATTTATTAACGTCGCGGATTGTGCCCCGCGTTAAATTCAATATCAATCACCCGCATATACATTCGCCACGCGAGCGGCAATCTCTCCTTCAAGTATCCATCATTCCTTAAATCTTGGAACGCGACGTGCGTGCGAACGTGCGTGCGTTGCCCGTCGCGTCGTTTTCTCTTCAATTTTTTCCAATTCGCTGCTTCTCCTCCCTTTCTTCTTCCGTGTCCCGTGGAAGAATTGATCGTCTCGTATTTAGGAAAAAAAAATCCGCGAATTTTATTTCCCGTTAATCTACAGGCGCGCATTCTCTCGAGGGTTTGGGGAGAGGAGAGGAGGGCGCGCGTCGCCTAATGAGGCGTAATTGCCGGCAGCTGCAGGAACGAGATGACATTTCGGAATGATTTTTCCGTCCCTCGAGCCGCTGGCAATTAGAGAAGCCGGGCCGAGTCGTTCCAAGACGTTTCGCCGATAATTACAATCAGACTTCTTCGTCGTTAATGAGGTGCGCGCACAAGGAGGAGAGCGCCGTTAACACGAGCGATTCGGAAGTCGCGAACGAGGGCGGCGAAATATGCAAAAGTTGCTCGTTACGCGTCGGACGTTCAGTCGCAAGGATCGGTGTGACCTCGGCAGAAGGATTTTCTTGTTTTCCGATCGCGCGCTCAGAAATCGTCGCGATTGGGGGTAACTGAGTAACAACAACGTTCGCAACCCTTGGCCTTTGGCTGACACATCGTACGGCTCTCCTCACGGCAAGCACAAAAGCACCGCGTATTTAATAGCGCACGGCGAGATCACGTCTCTGCGCTCGTTGCGGATAAGCAACGCGCGGGATTTACTTTAATTGTGGTTTAGCCCGTGCGCGATAAAATCCCGCGTTTCCTCGCTGCTGTCAGCCGCGGAGAGGGAAGCATTTTTCGAGCGTGCAGAGGCAATCTCGCCTCGGCGGATTTTCCCCGTTTCTCTCCATTATTGCGCGCGCGAACGGCTGCGACGTGCGTACGTCGCTTTGAGGACGTTACTCCTGCGAATAATGACAATAAAAATACAGTAATAATAATATCGAAAACGTTGAATCTCCTCCCTTTGATCTGTTTGATGCAATAAGCGGCGGTATTTAATGAAACGGCGATCCCCGATGTTGCGATTCGCGATATTTCCCCGCTGAAAGTTTGGTGGGGAGAGTCGGCCCGCGAATAAACAATTTCCCTTCATCGACGATCGCGGCGTATTTATTCAAAGGCCGCGCGCTTCGCCGATAATTGCAAATCTTTGCGAACTCACGGCCGAAGTCTTTTGTCACTACCGAGGAGAAAGCGAGATACAGAGAGACAGAGGCCGTCGTCCGTAGGAACAGTGAAACTTCAAAGACGACTCCTTCGCAAAAGGAACCAGAACAATTTCATTTTAATTCCTCTCTTAACGGCTTTTTCCCAGGGCGCGATTGTCCTCGTCGTGCCTGACAGAAACGGTCGTTATACGCGATATAATGTAATTTCCAGCCTTAATGACCATGTTGAAACGAATAGAGGTAAAACGGGAAAGAAAAAGAGATGGAGAAAAGCGCGGAGGGAGAGGGTGACACAGGGAGGATGGGGCGAAGGGATGAGAGTGTTACGGTGCGGGCGGGATAGAACAGCGAAGCTAGAAACGGCGACTTGCGGGAGGAAGAGGACAAAGAAGGAGGAAGCTCGGGATTTATTAGGGTCAAAATAATCAGTCTGCTGGGATCTCTTAACAAATATCGCGGAAAATTGAATGTTGTTAGCGAGAGAAGGAGGAAGGGAAAGGGAGAGAAAAGACAAGAAGCGAAAAGGAGAAGAGAAACGCGTTCGATGAGCTAATAGCTCCCATGACGAGTTCATGAAAAACAAACGCAAATTTTAGGAGTCTGCCCGAGTTTTGAGCGACGACGTCAGAAGTCAAATCTTCTCGCGTCTCGCAATATGTGATTCTCTCTTGTCGATTATCGCGGCGCGGTGTCCTGCGGAACAATAATGTATTGGTGAAATAAGTCTCGACACTTTTAGGTCCATATTAATAGTCGTTACTTAAAGAATCTGATTTTAGCGATTTAGATTCAGATCTTATTCAAACAAGAGTTCGTTTCTCTCTCTTTCTCTTTCTTTTTTTCTCTCTCCCTCTTAGTCGAATCGTGATTGCAGATATAAATATCATGTACATAACTCTGAAAAACTCAGTTTTGAAAAACTTGAATCCGACTCTGAGTAAAAATTCAAGTATATCTCACATGAGACGAGTTTCACGTGATAACTATTAATACGGATCTGAGACACATATGAATAGTTATTGCTTGAAACTCGTCTCAAGATAAGCAAATTTAGATTCAGAGTAGAATTTCTTAAAGAATTTCTTTCTCTTTAGATTCAGAGTTATGAAAATTTCTTAAATATCATATATATCATAATTTAATTAAGAAACTTGTATTTAAATCTTAGTAAAAATACGAATATCTCACGTGAGACAAGTTTCAGGTGACAACTGTTGATATGAGTCATAAATTTTCAATCGAGGGGAACATCAACAGGCCGACGAGAGTTGACGCGAATTAATCACTGCGAGTGGAGTTTGATTTCCTTCAATAGTCGCTCCCCAAAGTTATCAGGGACGTTTTACAAACAAAAGATAATTTTTTTGTTACATCACCAAACCAAACATTTCGGCCGCGATTTTGAATTCTTCTCGATGGAGTAAACTACACGCGTAGATTGACGCGCGGGCGCTTTCTCAAAGACTACCGTTTTTACGAAGCTTCCTCTTGGCAGTCCTTCGCGCTCGAATTACAGAGAGCTGCGGCGCTCAGTTTCCTCTGGTTTTACCTCATTTTTTTTTTGCCGCAAAAAACAAACGTAAGGATCATGTTCGAGCGATCTAGAGAGCGACGCATGGTTCGGTTCTTTACTTTCTTCCTTTCTTTCTTTGTTCTCGCATAGAGGCATGGAGCACGGTGCTGCCTACGGCGGGTGCTGGCGATTACTGGGCTTGGGATTACAGTGAGTCTCGCTAATTACTAATCCACGATAACGTGGAAACGGTGAACGTAGAAGTATCAGTACGAGTAATCAGTGGTAGATCGTAGCTCTAGTCACGATGTTCCTGTGTACTACGTGTTATACCCCTTTGGAGGCGCACCCGGATGGATTCTTTATTAACGCGAAATTGAGTGGCGCGAATGAGATAGCGGGACGTGTAATTTGCCGGGTCGAGTGAGGTAGACGGTAACGCCCGGTTGAAACGTTATTCACGGGGATCGAAATACATAATTTTAGGTCTCGCTCTTTTCACACGCGTAAGTGTAAGTCGAATTACCCGTGTGGAACGACATGCGCGCGTGTGTATGTGTGTGTATGTATGTGTCTCAGTCCTGGAAAATTAGCGCTGGAAAATTAGCGAATTCTC